GAAAGAAAAGAAAAAGGCATATTAATTCATCTAGTATTCTATCTAATTGATTGCACTATAAAATGTATTTCTTACCATTCATTGTAGTCAGAAAGTTTGAATAAACCACGAGTTGCAGACTGAAACTGCTATATCACATCGCACTGAGTGTACCATCAGTTAACTGTCATCTTTTTATCTTTCTTAATTCCTAATACATTTAATGCACACTACTGACATTGTTATTTGCTTCTCCTATCTGTTGTTTGCATGATGTAGTTTAGGGCCTTAGTATGGGACTCTGTTTTCCCTGTTAAGCTTTTATCTCTAGCCTGTTGACCTTTCGGCATCTGGTACTCAGTTTATCCTTCCTGTTTTCAACATCTGCCTTCTCAATAAGTGTGCCTTCTCTATTGTTTTTTTTTTTTGTCGTGGGGCCTGAACTCTGGGCCTGGGCGCTGTCCCTCAGCTCTTCAGCTCAAGGCTAGCACTCTACCACTAGAGCCACAGCACAACTTCTGGCCTTTTCTGCCTATGTGGTGTGAGGAATCGAACCCAGGGCCTCATGCATGCAAGGCAAGCATTCTACCACTGAGCCACCTTCCCAGCCTTCTCTATTGTTATTGCTTAAATATGTCAAATAGGACTGGTCCAAGAACATAGCCCTGTTGCAGACTACTGGAGATTTCCCCTTCACCAGCTAATACACCATTTGTATCATTTGCATGTGACCCTCTAGCCATTAGTGAGCCCCTAACTCTATGTAGCTTGCTTCAAAGGGGTCACAGCAGACCTTATGAAACTTTACCATCTACAGACCAAATTGCAAACTTAAATGCTTGCAAGGGCTTGGCAAGTAGCACAGTGAATGATGTGATAATTAATTCAGGCAATTAGTAAGTAATCAATCCCTGACCTCTGGCCTTGATTCGTAGAAAGCAACGTGGATGGTGAAATCGGGTGTGAAGTGGAGACATTATGATCTGTGTAACCAGTAGCCACTGCTCTGTTAACAGATTTTCCAGGGCAAAATGAACCTTCAAGAAAATCCAGATTTTATTTGCAGGTTGATTTTTTTTTTTTTAATTTTGGCAAAACAATACTAGTACTATATGGGCCAAGTAAAATATGAGGCATATTTGGCCCCAGATTTGTGAACTATCTGCCATAGTATCTCTCCATCTACTTGTCTACTGATTATATGACACGAGGCATGGTTTGCCATAGAACCAGGCTCTTTGTGCTTCCTCTGTTTACTCATTCAGGAATCCTACTGGATTCTTCATATCGGTGGACTAGGTGTTAGAAATGATGCTTTCACACCGTGCCTGTTGGCAGCTTCTCCTGCTGGTGAGTTTATTCCAGGATTGGCAGGTGTTGAGAAATGGTGGGATCTGTTGGCCAGGAAACTGGTACTTAGGGTTTCTTGAAATCTTCCATCCATACTAGCTTCACTTCCTTCACCTCATAACCTACATCTATTTTTTTCTCTTCTCTTTTTAGTCTGAAAGCATTGTGTGTGTGCACACACACGCACATATACACACCAATCCTGGAGCTTGAACTCTGGGCCTGGGCAATGTTCCTGAGCTTTTTTGTCCAAGGTTATGAACATATCTTCTTTTGCAGGAAATTCAGAGGCACATAGCTAGCCTTACCCCTTCCTTGTTCTTATTCACACACCAAAATATCTTCTTAAATCCCTGTTTAGTTGACCTGACCATTTTGGGGAGGCCTCTGCTCATGCAGCATTAGTCTTTCTGACATTGTTTTTGTAAATCCTTGCTATTCTTTCACATTTCCTCTTGGTTATATGTGCTCGTCTTTTGTACAGAAGTAGGTAAAATTTGATCACTTCAGATTTTGTAGTCTGCTAGCCACATCTGTGTAGGTTTCTAAGAAAGAAGGAAGTGCTGGGTCATTAGCCACATCCTAGGTATTAGAAAGGTAGTCTTTTACCAGTGTTGGTAAGGGTTACCCTATTCCATGACCAATAGGAAAGGGAGGCCTTTCTTTCTCTCAGGAGTATGAAGTTGCCTCAGCTACAAGCAGAAGACATAGAAGTCATTAGGAGCTGGACATTGCCTGTGGGAGCTACCACTAGATGGGGGAGGCAACTACTTGAACAGAAAATAGTTTATAGCATGTGGTAAGTGCTCACAGAGGGACCATGGGAACCTGGGAGCCACAGTGTACAGGGTGTCCTGAGAGCTCAGGGGCAGAGGCCACAAAAACCTCTGTTAGCTAGGTAAGAGAATAGGTGATAATAAACTAGTGGTAGAAGGATAAGTCTGAGTAATTCATCTAAGATGCTGGAAAAGCTGCATGTACAAAGCCTGGTGATCTTAGAGAACTAGGCCTATTGGAGAAATAAGAGAATTCTTTGTGGCCAGAACGGGAGCAATGGTGGAGATGAAGCAGGAGCTGTGGGCAGGTCTCACTTCCCAAAGGGCTGTCCCCAAGTCCCAGTTTTCTTCACTACTTTGGAGCCCATTTATCACCATATCTGAAAGTCTTGGATCTGGCTTCTTCTTAGCCACCCAATTAAAACACTTTGTGTTTTACCGAAAGGACTAAACTCTCTTTAACTTTTAATTTTGATAGGATTTTTTGAAACATATACCAAAGTTGGAAAAATAGTTCTTGGAACTCCAGCCTATTCAAAAAGTTGATATTTTGCATCATTTACTTCATTTTCTCTGCATGTTTTTATGAATGTAATTATTTTTTAATCTGATTGAGACTAAGTTAGAAAAACTGTGCCTCTTTAATCCTAAATACTTCTGTATATACCCTAAGAGTTAGAACAATTCTCATATAACTATAGTCCGATGATCCAAGTCAAGAAGATTAAGATGTTCACAGGATCATCTATGCCAATATTCAAATTTTATCTATTGTCCCATATATTTTTGCCACCTTTTTTGTATTAATAGTGCCACCTTTCCCCATTTTAGAATCTAAACTGGAAAAGATTCTTGACTTTGAGATTTTTGAAGAGAACATTCTAAATACTTTGTACAACACCCTGCAATTTGGGTTTATCTTTCGTTTCCTCATGAATAGATCCGGATTCTAGATTTTGGCAGGAGTTCTGTGTGACTGGTGTTATCAATGTATAATTAAGAGGCACATGATGTTGGTGATGCTAACTTTGCTTATTTGGTTAAGGCGATGCCTACTAGAGTTCTCCACAATTAGTCAGCTTCCCATTTTTGTGATAAAGTACTTGAGACAAGCAGCTTAGAATGAAAGATTTATTTTGGCTTATGGTTTCAGTGATTTCAGTGTCCAGTTACTTCGCCCATAGCTATGAGCATGTGGTAAGGCAGAACATCATGTCAGTGAGGCGCATGTAGCAAGCAGAATTGTTCTTCTCATGGAGGCCAAGAAGCAGAGAGAGAGAGAGGCAAATGGGTAGAGGCACCAATATCCCTCCAAAGACATGCTCCGTTGTACTTTCTAAAATTTCTACCAACTCCCAGAAGCACCACCCACCAGGAACCAAGCCTTCAACAAATGAACCTTGGAAACATTCTAGATCCAACTGTAACAACCATGAAGTTATTATTGTAATGAAGTAATCTTCAAGAGGCTTTCATAGACCATGTGTATACTGATCTGTACTTCATCAGTCTTCTACCTACTACTAGCAGCTTCCACTATGACTTTCAAAGTCTATCATTCCTTCTATGCTTTTCCTTGGTGTTCTATATTATGGAAAAAATTTTGGTAAGAGATTAGGCTTGCAAACAGGCCAGGCACTGTAGCTCATGCTACTTGGAGACTGAAAGAATCACAGTTTAATGCTAGCCCAGACAAAAAGTCTGAGACCATATCTTGACTGGGTATGGAGATGAGTATGGTGGTACACACCTGTTATCTCAGGTACTCAGGAAGCATAAATAGGATGATCACAGTCCAAACTAGCCTGGATGGGTGGGGGAGGGGAAGCACTGGTCAGGGAGAGGAGGAAAAGAGAGATTGTTTGAGAAAATAACTAAGGCAAAAAGGGATAAGGATGTGTCTTAAGTGGTATAGTGCCTGCTTAACAAGAGAAAGGTTCTGAGTTTAAAACTGAAAAGAAAAAGTCTTGCAAACAGTTTTATTATGTATTAACTTTTACCTTGTTGGATTGGGGCCTTTCTGTCATGCCTTCTCTTTTGTGTGTTTTGTATACATTAGGTGTATTGTATATGTGTGTGTATCAATGGCTTGAGGGAAGGTTGGGTATGTCACTAGCACCCTAAGGTCAACCTGTGCTTAAGCAAAGGCTTGACAGAGCAAGAAACTTTGGGTTCTTTTTTTTTTTTTTTTTTTTTTGGTCAGTTGTGGGGCTTGAACTCGGCCTGAGCGCTGTCCCTCAGCTCTTCAGCTCAAGGCAAGCGCTCTACCACTTGAGCCACAACTCCATTTCTGGTCTTCTGGTGTTTATTGGAGATAAGAGTCTCACAGACTTTCCTGCCTGGGCTGGCTTTGAACCGTGATCCTCAGATCTCAGCCTCCTGAGTAGCTAGGATTATAGGCATGAGCCACTGGCACCCGGCTAACTTTGGGCTCTTTACTTAGGATGGTATGACTGAGTCCTGGTCAGCTGAGGGAACACAGCTTTTTTTACTCCTGAACAGCATATGAACTTGGTTAGTTTTCTTTCCCTCTTGACAAAAAATATTAAAGAAAACAGGATCCTGTGAGATTTTTGGACATTGTAAGTTAAGGACCTTTTTCTGGTATCTTAGTTTTGTGGGAGTCCTGTCAGGGGTCAAACTCGGGCTCTCAGAGAGCATGAGCAACATGAGATTCCACATCAGGATCTCTTAAAGAGTTTTTCTTTCCCATTTTTGCTGGTAAAGCCAACTAAGGAATGGAGTGTGGGAAGATGAACTGAGGCTTGGTCAGTTCAATAGAATTTGTAAGGAAATGGGGATTAGAAATGCCCCTGGTGCTGTGAAGCAGAGAAATGCTTTTCCAACAGCATGGTTCATTTTTTCCTCCTTTTTTCCTCTTCCCTCTCTCTCCAGACAGGCTCAGAGCTCAGCCCGGTTGATGGACCTGTTCCAGGTCAGATGGACTCAGGGCCAGTGTACCATGGGGACTCAAGGCAGCTAAGCACCTCAGGGGCGCCGGTCAATGGTGCTAGAGAGCCCGCCGGACCCAGTCTACTGGGAGCTGCGGGTCCTTGGCGGGTAGACCAGAAGCCCAACTGGGACGCTGCCCCAGCCCCAGCCCACACTGCTCGCCTGGAAGATGCCCACGATCTGGTGGCCTTTTCGGCTGTGGCCGAAGCTGTATCCTCTTATGGGGCCCTTAGCACCCGGCTCTATGAAACCTTCAACCGTGAGATGAGTCGTGAGGCTGGAAACAACAACAGGGGCCCCCGGCCAGGGCCTGAAGGCTGCCCTGCTGGCAGTGAAGACCTTGACACCCTGCAGACAGCCCTGGCCCTTGCACGGCATGGCATGAAACCACCCAACTGCAACTGCGATGGCCCAGAATGCCCTGACTACCTCGAGTGGCTGGAGGGGAAGATCAAGTCTGTGGTCATGGAGGGAGGGCAGGAGCGGCCCCGGCTCCCAGGGCCTCTGCCTCCTGGAGATGCTAGCCTCCCAGCACCCAGCACCAGGCCACTCCTTAGCGCTGAGGTCCCCCAGGTACCTCCCCTGGAGGGTCTGCCCCTGTCCCAGAGTGCCCTGAGCATCGCTAAGGAAAAGAACATCAGCCTGCAGACCGCCATCGCCATCGAGGCACTCACACAGCTCTCTTCCGCCCTCCCCCAGCCTTCTCATTCCACCTCCCAGGCTTCTTGTCCCCTCCCTGAGGCCTTGTCCCCTTCTGCCCCTTTCAGGTCCCCCCAGTCCTACCTCCGGGCTCCCTCATGGCCTGTGGTTCCCCCTGAGGAACACCCACCATTTGTTCCCAATAGCCCAGCCTTCCCCCAAGCAACTCCAAGGACTGAGTTTTCTGAGGCCTGGGGCACTGAAACCCCACCAGCAACAAACCCCCGGAACTCCTGGCCTGTTTCCCGCCCCAGCCCTGACCCCATGGCTGAATTGGAGCAGCTGTTGGGCAGCGCCAGTGATTACATCCAGTCAGTATTCAAGAGACCTGAGGCCTTGCCCACCAAGCCCAAGGTCAAAGTTGAGGCATCCTCTTCCTCCCCAGCCCCATCACCATCCCCCAATCTCCAGAGGGAGGCTCCCCCACCATCATCAGAACCTGACACCCACCAGAAGGCTCAGACTGCCCTGCAGCAGCACCTCCACCACAAACGCAGTCTCTTTCTAGAACAGGCCCATGATGCCTCATTCCCTGCTCCATCAGAGCCTCCTGCTTCTGGCTGGTGGGCCCCACCAAGCTCACCTGCCCCCCGGCCTCCAGATAGACCACCCAAGGAAAAGAAGAAGAAGCCCTCTACACCAGCTGGAGCTCTTGTGGGAACGGAGAAAGCAACCCCTGGGATCAAGCCCAGTGTCAGAAAGCCAATTCAGATCAAGAAGTCCAGGTCCCGGGAAGTGCAGCCTCTCTTCCTGCCTCTCAGGCAGATCATTCTGGAAGGGCTGAGATCCCCAGCCTCTGAGGAAGTGCAGGCACCTCCACCAGCCCCTCTCCCTGACCCTCTTCCTACCACACAGGGCTCTGCCATCCCCTTGCCCCCAGAACCTTCTCTTGCGCTATTTGCACCTAGTCCCTCCGGGGACAGCCTGCTGCCCCCTACTCAGGAAATGAGGTCCCCTAGCCCTATGGCAGCACTGCAGCCAGGCTCCACTGGCCCCCTTCCCCCTGCCGATGACAAGTTAGAAGAGCTCATCCGGCAGTTTGAGGCCGAATTTGGGGATAGCTTTGGGCTTCCTGGCCCCCCTTCTGTGCCCATTCAAGACACCGAGAACCAGCCAACTTGTATCCCAGCCCCTGAAAGCCCTTTTGCCACCCGCTCTCCCAAGCAGATCAAGATTGAGTCTTCAGGAGCTGTGACTGTGCTTTCAACCACCTGCTTCCATTCAGAGGAAGTAAGCCAGGAGGCTACACCCACTAAGGCTGAGAATCCACTCACACCCACCCTCAGTGGTTTCTTGGAGTCACCTCTTAAGTACCTGGACACGCCCACCAAGAGTCTGCTGGACACACCTGCAAAGAGGGCCCAGGCTGAGTTCCCTACCTGCGATTGTGTTGGTAAGTCCAACCTCGATGTCAAGAAAGGGCAAAAGGTGGCAGCATAGTGGGCTTGGATTTCTAGGCTCTTTGGTTTGGCATATTATTTACTGTGTGCTGATCACCACGCTGGATCTTAGGGACAGTGAAATGAGTTAATAGGCTGGTAGAAAAGACACTGCAGAAAAAGTGATAATGCTGTTGTGGTGTGTGTGCCGTGGAGGTGGAGGTGGGCATAGGTTCTGTGTAATACCTACTCATTGAGTTGGGACCATTAAGGAGGGCTTCCTGTGGGAGGAGATGTCAGTGTTGAGCCCTTCTAGGCCCATCAGGTAGAAAGGAGACATTCTAGAAAGAGAGAGGGAGTAGCTTGGGCTGTGGAAAGATGAGACTTGTTTGGACTGTCCTTGGTCTGGCAGGAAGGAAAGGTAAGGGGAAAAAAAGGTTACCCTTCCACCCATCTTTTTTGGATTGATCAGGGCTCCAGCAACCCAGGTCAGGAGCTGTACTTTCTCCTATGTGCAGTAGCAAGTTCCTGAGGGTTTGAGAGCAAGTAGGTGGAGAGCAAGACAGTTCTGGCCTGTATTAAGAAGGAAATACTGGAACTGTAAGAAAGTTATCACTGAGGCAAGAAATGATGAGGGCCTCCCTGAGAGTGGGTCGAGAAGGCAGCAAACCAAGTGCCTCTTACAGGGAAGAGATAGGGCAATTGGATTTTGGCTTTGTTGGTGATGGGTACTGAGGACACAGATTTGGGGGGAGGTGGTGCACTTTGTTTGGATAGGCTTGAATCCCAAGTCTATCATTGCTCAAGACTGTAATGTCAAGGTCCGAATTAGCCTTTCTAACAGACTTAAGTATGGGCTATATGAGCACCTGTGCTGCAGGTCAGAATACTAAAAAGCCAAGTCAACTTGTATGTCTGCATTCTGGGAAGAAAGTGGGACTGAGGGTCTCAGGAACCTCTGTTGTGGGCATGGCCATCCAACAGGAGGTCACTGGTGTGGTGGTGTGGTAGTTCCTGCACTCTACTGTTTATGGAGTGTTCTGTAAAAGACTTGCTTGTTTCATGTGTTAACAGAAGAACACATTGATGCTTGGCAATAAGTGGTTGAATTTGTGTGACTTCATGATATACAAATGGAAAAAGCAGGCTGTTCTCTCACAAGTAAATTGTCATTTATTGGGATGCTGCTTCCCAAGAAATGCGGGTGAGCTGGGCTGGCTGTCCTACTCTAACTGGGTGTGAGGCCAATGGTGAGGACTCACTTGGGAAATAATGTGAAGACATGTCAGGGTTCTTGCCAGAAGTTCACAGACATACTCCAGGACCATGAGTCCCACTACCCTCATTCTTTGTAGATCTGACCAACAATGAAATGACCTTGAGGTATATCCCAGTATTTGGAGGAAGCCTGTTCTTTGTGATCATAGGAATTGGTCTTGGTGTTTGTGTCTGTCCCATTACCTGGGTTTGGTGTTATGTTCTATATTTCTCCTCTAAGATCAAGAACATCCTTACCTAGCATTTGGGATTTATTATAGTAAATGTTCAGTTGTGGCCTTCAGTTATATGGCTATAAAGGTTGGTCAAGCTAGTTTTTTTGTTGTTGTTTTTTTGTTTTGTTTTTTAATTTGAATTCCAACTCACAGTTGGGAGGCTTGGAGTACTTCATGTAATCTCTCAGAATCTCTGTTTTCTCCACTGCACAGTGAAAATGATAATAACATCTACTTTTCAGCCTCGTTCATGTTAATCTTTGGAAGTTGTTAAAATTGCCTCTGACACACCGTAGGACTGGAAGAGCCCAAATAGCAAGAAAAAGCAGAAAAAAACAACTTAGAGAAGAAGAGCCAAGCATGGTACCTTATATCTATAATTACAACTACTCAGGAGATAAAGATAGGATGATGTGTTTCACTGCCAGCTGGGGGAAAAAGTTAAAGATCCTATTTGAAAAAATCAGCCAGGTACTAAGAATATGGCTCAAGTAGTAGAACACTTACTTAAGGGCTCCCACTCCCTAAGGAAGGGAGAGGAAAAGCCAGCCATGGTGGTATATGCCTATACTCCTAGCTACTTGGGAGGCAGAGGTAGGAAAATCATGCCCTTGGTCACCCTAGGCAAAATTGGAGACCCTTAAAAATGATTTCAGGGCATGAACCAGACCAGTGACTCATACCTATTATCCTAGCTACTCAGGAGGCTGAGATCTGAGAATCACAGTTCAAAGCCAGCCTGAGCAGGAAAATCCACAGAAGCTCAACCACAGGACCCGAGCCTAGAGTTCAAGCCTCAGTTCTGGCAAAAAAGGAAAAAAAACAAAAAAGATTTGAGAGGTTGTCTCAAGTAGTAGAGCATGTGGCTAGCAAGCTTAAGGTCCTGAGTTCAAACCCTAGGACCACAAAAATTTTTTAAAAAGAAAAGAAGAAAAAAGAGTTGGCTGTTCTCTTATCAGACATTCTTTTAAGGATAAAAATGAAGAGAAAAGGTTCATCATTGCTTACTTGAAAAAAAAAACAAAATTGTTGATAAAATATCCAATGGTCTCTTCTACATACTCTGCTATATGCCTCTTTTCATCAGCATTGTGCTGTCACAAAGAAGTGGCCACATCAAGAGAACATGTATAAAACCAACTCGGTCCTATCACAAGAGTGTAATAGTTTACAGAAGCTGTTGTTCAGAGATGGGTTTTGAAAAATGTAAAATTTAAAAAATGAAATAGACAAATATAGGGAGAATTGGAAAGTGATTCCTTCAGACTGAAGAGTCTATGAGCAGAGCTTAGGGTGGCCTTGAGAGTGTGGGGAAGATAAGGATGGTGGTTCAGTATTCTTCTGTTTCTCCAGCCTGAGGAGTCCTCAGAGAGGATGCACCCTAGCTTGAAGTCAGTGATGCAGAAGATAGCATCTGAGAGATTCAGCAATGGCAGTGCAGTAGTGCTGCCCTGGCGGTGGGGGTATAGGCAGGGAGCAGTCTATCACTACCAAGTCATTTATTTCTCTAGCTTCATTTTACCTGTGTCTCATTCTAAACAAAGCTTGGTACCAAAGCTACCTTGTATTGTGAATATAGAAAAAAGGCTTAGGTGGAAACAGAGAAAATAAATAGTACACAAAGGATCATCTTGCTGGATGCTGGTGGCTTACACTTGCAATCCTAGCCACTCAGGGGGCTGAGATCTGAGGATCATGGTTTGAAGCCAAACCAGGCAGGAAAGTCCATGAGACTTTTATCTCCAGTTAACTACCAGAAACATGGAAGTAATGCTGTGGCTCAAAGTGGTAGAGTACTAGCCTTGAGCAAAAAAGCTCAGGGACAGTGCTCAGGCCCTGAGTTCAAGCCCCACAACTGACAAAAAATAAAATAAAATAATCCCATCTAGGTGAAAAGGGTTAGAAAAAAGACTAGTGGGAGCTAGACCAAGTAATTGTTTCTAGGGTTGGACTTTTCCCTCATATGCTTTCTGAAAATTTCTATGGTTAAATGTATTTTATAATCGAGCAATGCTTTTAAAGGTGCCTCTAGCAGTAGCATGGAAGGCATCACCAGGTAACCAAAACACTAATTGCTAAGAGCTTTGTTTTCTGAGCATCTAAAAGGGATTCATATAATACTAGAATGAAAAGGCATATGTGAAATTTCAAAGAAGTAAATTTAGAAGCTAAGGAAGGAAATATCTTCCTCTGAAATGAAGTGTGATATTTACGGTTTTGAGAAAATTTAGTAAGTTGAATTTCTATACTTAACTATAGCAAGGGATGTATGGGTATTGTCAACATATTTCTAATATTTTGAAGCATGCATTCAAGATCTCTTGGCCAACCATTCTTAGTCTGTGATGCTTTTGTCAGAGGTGGGACCTTGGTGGTGAGCCTGGTCTTTGTGCATTGTATCCATTCTCAGTAATGAGAGTTCCCAGAGGAATCAGATTAGCACAAGGAATGAGTCCAAATAACTTTTTAGTCAGAAAAGCATCCTTTGAGATGTAGTCATCATTTTGTAAATGAGGAAACAGTCTATGTTAGCTTTTAAGTGTTGTCCTGATGTCTCTAAAGAGCATCCAGTAGGAAGCCACAGAGACTAAACCAGAGCCCAGAGCAGGAGGTTAGGACATGTAGATTTCAGCTGCTTCCATAGATGTGCTGCGTTTTTAGCCAATTGATTATCTTACCTGAAAGAAATGGCCAGAAGAAAAACATCTCCTTTACCCAATACCTTGTAAGTCTAAATAAGGGAGTGGCATTGTTAGCAAGTATGGCTGCTTTCAGTGTCTGCCTGGTGACAGTGTATACCTAAGATGTAGGGATCACAGTCCTTAATGGGCAATGCTAAGTTAACAATCATGTTTACAATCATGTAGTCTGTCTACTACAGTTTTTTAATGAAAATTTATCCTCTGCCTTTACATTCAATTTGAAATGAAGAGGAACTTTTTATGTTGTCAATATTTTTTGAGACAATAGTTAAGTATCAGTATAAAGGCAGGGAATCTGACCCTGGGAAGAGAGACATTAGTAGGAGGCTTCCCGAAGAAGGTGATATCTGAGTTTTAAAGGATCAATAGAAGTTGAATTCATTAACCAGGAAAAGATGTTGAATGCTAGGCAGAGGGTATAAACATCATAGAGATGAAAGACATACAAAGCCACATGAAAATATGGAGGTGAGAGAACACTGGGAAATGCAAGTATTTTGTGTGACTGGCATGTTTGATGGAGGATTGGGAGTGGCCAGGAAGTAGTTTCAGGGGAACTGAGGATGATACCAAAAGCAGACAAACCAGTTTGCAGGCTCAGACAAAAAGTAAAGGGTGCCTAGAGGGACACTGAGCAGGAATGGATGGGAGAAAGAATAAGAAGCAAGTGGCAGCAGTTGGATATAGGAGTAAGCAAGGAGAAGAGGCAGTCACAGGCATCCCCTGAGGTTCCAGGTTGAAAGACGAGGTGGAGAGTGGTACATTCACTGGCACTGAAATACTGGAAGAGAACCAGTTTGGCATCGGTGGGAGGAACCT